AGCCTAAACCAGAGACGTGCCATCTCGCGGGTCTGGCGGCCAGAAGTTCTCAGCCAAGCTGTTGGCAGGCGTGTGCTCCCTCCGGAGGCGTTGGGGGAGCAGCCTGCCTTGCCCCCAGCTCTGGGTGCCTGTTGGCATTCCGTGGCTTCCTAGGCTGGTGGCCAGATCTCTCTAACCCCAACTTTCGTCCTCACGTTGCTTCCTCCGGTGTGTGTGTGTAAAATCTCCCTCTGCCTTCCTTTTGTATGAGCACTGGTCATTGGATTTAGGGCCAACCCAGATAATCTGGGATGATCTCCTCATCGCAAGAGCCTTAACTTAATTACATCTGCAGAGACTCCTTTTCCAAATAAGATAACATTCACAGGTTCTGGGAGTTAGGATGTACATACATCTTTTGGGGGCCCCCACTCAACCTGCTACCTAAGAATTAAAAGAAATATAATTATATGTGTATTTACATGTATTTATATATGGAGTTTGGCTCAGTGCCTAACAAATGTAGGTACTCAATGCATGTTAATTCATTTCCCTTCTCTTCAGAGGCCTGTGTCCTGCAACATTATGTATCTGGTATGATTTTGGCAATTAGTACCCAATTCCCACTCCTCTCTGACCCCACAGACGTCCTGTGGTGCCCATCGGGAAGTCTCGTCCTTGTCTTCCATCTTCCTTTATTGGCCTTCACTTTAAATTTCCTTTCTCCTTCCACTCAGGCCACAGTCTTGCTCAGGTCTCTCCTTTTCAGAGAAAACTTCCCTTGACCCTTGCTCTCACTCACATACGGTGCTGAAACTCACTGCTTTCACTTTATCCACTTAACTCTTCACTAGTTTCCTTTTGTTTCCGTAATTTTGATGAAACTGCTCTCGTGAAGGCAGTGATCTCCTGGTAGCATTTTATAACAGTCAACTGGTGTGGTAGAGCTGGACTGCTGGTGTGGGACTTGTGGCTCCTCCACGTGCTAATACCTGTATGACCTTGAACAAGTTGCTTAACTGTGCTTCAATTTCTTAAGCTGTAAATGGGAACGTTAGGACCTACCTTGTAGAGTTGCTTTTAAGGATCACACACATTAGTGTGTGTAAAGAACTTCTAAGAATGCCTGGTGGAGTACACGCTAAGTAGAAGCTTTTTTTTTAGTTTAAGGTTTT